CACTCTGAGCCAGAGTCCCCACTCTATGGTGGTGAGGGGGGCAGTCTGGCCTGGGAACCCCCGCATCCATGCCCTTCCTCTCTATGGTAACAAGGTGGGATAAGCAGGCCCCGCCCCACGGCGGCACGGCGAGGGAGCGCCCCATCACCTCCCAGGGCTGCGGGGCGGAAGGGAGGGACAGTCAGCTCTAGCCTCCCACTCTATGGTACCGCGGGCACTCTGGCCCGTGCTCTCTTTAGTCGCGTGGTGCGGCGCTCTGGTCCCAACTCTCTATGGTCGCGTGGTGCGGCGCTCTAGTCCCAGCGCTCCATGGTCGCGTGGTGCGGCGCTCTGGTCGCGCAGGCGCTCTGTGCTGTTTGTCCTCCACCATGGAGAAGCTGGCGCTGCTGAGCCGGATGGCCTTCACGGCATCGATGCCCATTGTCTTAGGGCTGGTGATCGTGACCGTGTGGGAGAGGGGCCAGCAGGAGTTCACCGAGGTCAATGGAGCTGGGAACCCCTTCCAAGGCGGTGGGGGCCGGAACCCCCCATGGGAGGGACTGCCCCCCCCGAAAATGTTGGGGGGTTGCCTGGGGGGGCTGCTGCTCTCAGGGAGTCCAGGAGGGACCCCCCAGCTGGACTGAGCCGCGGCCCGGCCCCTCTGCCCCCCAGACCCTGTCCAAAACGTACCCGGGGCAACAGGTCGACCAGGAGGAGAGGGCGCAGCTGATGGCGATCCTTAGGAAGGCAGCAAAGACCAAGCGGAACCTGGCGAGAGAGAAATTCTCCTGGGACGACTGACCCCGCCCCGCCCCGCCCCGCCGCCGGAGGCCACGGCCACCGGGAGAGACACCGACCCGAGCGTTCACCTTCTGCCAGTGCCGGCCTCCCCGAGCTGGGCGTGGGACAGACGTTCCCCAGCAGTGACGGGGAGCGGCCACGGGCTGGTGCTGCCCTGGGGCACAGAGGAAGCCTTGGACCACCATTCGTAGCCCTGGCAGGGATGCCAGGCCCGCAGGGCTCTTCCTGTGGCTCCTAATGTTAAATAAATGCTAAATAAATCCATCTGGCATCGTGCAGTGTGTGTGTGTGCGCGCGTGCTGGGGAGGGGAGCGGGGGACACGCACCAGTGGGGTGCCCGGGGGGTCCAGCTGCCCCGTACGCTGCAGGACCCTGCTCTGCCCCATTGCAGATGCCGCCGACGGCCTCCACCTTCCCGTGTTGGCTGGTGTCGTCCTGCTCTCGCCCACGCTGGTTCTGCGGGATTGGGGTCATCTTGATGTCGGGGTCCCTGATCCTCGCTGGGCACCTCGGGCTGTCGAGCGCTGCAGGTGCGGTCCCTCAGGCACAGAGCATCCCCACGAGTCTCGCCGCGGCGCCCGCTGACCTCCCAGAGAGATGGAGTCGAGGGCTTGGGTTCCTCTGGAGCAACACAGGCCAGCAGGAAGGGGGCTTTCTTGGTAGTTGGTTCTGATCCCTCCTGAATCTGCCCCTTCAAGCATGGGGGGGTCTTCTCCAGCTCACCACTGCTGACACAGCTGCCCCCAGTTGTCTGCAGAGCTTTTTTAGTTCCTCCCCCCTCCTCCCCCCAGCAAAGCCTCACCCTAGGACGAAGCCCCACTCCCCAAACTCCTGCTAGCACGGCCCCAGCTGCTCAGGAACCCCCCCTCGCTGATCCAGGGCGGGACGGGTCGCAGCTCCCCGGGGACCCCTCCGCCCCAACGGGAGCTGGGCTGGATTTGCCTGTCCCGGAACTGTTGAGCCCCAGCTCAAGTCTGGGATCGTGCCCGGTATGCAAAGGCCAATAGAGATACCAGGGGTGAAAGTATAAAGATTTATCGTTAGCAATAAAAGGTGCAAGCGGAATAATTTCACGTAACAAGCGCACCGATTTCTAATTCCAAGCATCTTTTATACAGGGGTTTTGGACCTTCATAAGCATCCTTGTTTGCTAATTGGTTATAAGGGAGTGACGCAAGGAGTTCTTTACTGAGCATGTCTCTATACCTGTGTTTTAGCTATGTATCTTATGTACATACGTGTATGTTTTATTAGCATACTTTCTCCCCATTAGTATTTTAATGAGCTCTTTGACCCAGTCCTCTGCTTCTGCTTTTGTTTTCCAGCCTCCTTTATCTCCGACTGTCTCCTCCTTATCATTGCTGATGGGCATTTGTCACATAACATTCACTTTTGCTTGGGCTTTGCATAGTAGTTTCTAAGTCACTCCTCACAGAACCACTTGCGAGAGTCGCTGTTGCCACCCGGAAGGTGAAACCGGAGAACTCGCTGGCGGAGCCGTCTTCGTTTGTGATCCGCAAGCTACTTCCGGTGCTGGCTCCCGGCACTTCCGCTTTCCGTACGGCCCGTCCCCCAGTGGGCGCCGCCATCTTGGCGGTCCTGGAGGGTCGCTCCGCTGCCGCCGCCATGTCGCAGCCCCCGCAGCGGCAGGAGAAGACCTCCCGGATCGGGCGGGGCTGGGGGGGGCCGCGCGGCGGCGCTGCTGGGCGCCGGCTGGTGGGTGTCCAAGCAACCGCGGAGTGCCCTGGCCCTGGGCGCCGCGCCCAACATGTGGCAGTGGACGCAGATCGCCTTCGCCATCGGTGAGCGCCGGGTCAGGGGTCACGGCTGTGCCCCCCTCTGGATAAGGGGTGACTTCCGGGGCACCGCCTCCCCTGCAGTATAAGGGGTGACTTCCGGGGTCAAGGGTCACCACAGCCCCATGGGAACTTTTGGTCTTGGTGTGTGGGGTCAGGTTCCCCCCCCCCCCCCCCCCCCACC